CCAGGAAATTGCTGATAATCGAATGCGACGTTTTTCCCTCCTCCTCATCCTCCACCTCCACCTCCTCCTCCTCATCCTCCTCCTCCTCCTCTTCTTCCTTCCTGTCGTGCGGGTTGGCGCTACAGCGTACGTGCATATCTCAGCGCGCACCGCAGAATGGTCTATTGAATCGGTCCACTTGGTTCTCGGACGGCCAATTTAGCTGCAACCTCCTGGACGCAAAGAGAGGAGTTAGGGTAATGCGGGCGGAATCGGGAGGACACGTAGATTCCAGCGGCGCTCCGTTGTCCATAAGGATTATAATCTATTGTTTACTGTGGAATCCACAAGCGTTCCATTTTGTCATAAGGATTCGTTCTCACATTCTATATACAACAATGGTGTTGTGTTGCACACGGTTGCTGTGGTGCACACAGGCGCCGTGGTGCACACGAGCACTGCAATGCACGCAGGCATTGTGGTGTATACTGGTGCTGTGTTGCACACGGCTGATGTGGTGAACGCAAGCGCTGTGGCGTGCACAAGAGCTGTTGTGCCCACAGGCACGGTGGCACAAACTGACGCTGTGTTGCACGCGGCTGCTGTGGTGTACGAAGGCGGTGGTGTACACAGGCGCTGTGGTGCACGCAGGCACTGTGGTGTACACAGGCGTTGTGGTGCAAATCGCCACCTACATGCTGGCGCTACCCGTCCTCCGTCATTCCTAAGCATTCCCAAACGCCGCCGGCGCGAAACGTGACGTCATCGACCCCCTCCATCCCCCCCGAGATGATTGCCGTCATCGGCCCAGAATAAAAAACAGGTTTCAGCCGCGTCCGCGCGCACAACGACTATGAGCGACGAGCGACAAGCCACAGGCGACGACGACGACGACGACGACGACTGCGGACCAGAATCCGATGCGGATTCCTACGCGGACACCTACGCGGATCCCAATGCGCACAGCGGCAGTGCTCGGAGAGCACTGGGGGGCAGTGCCCGGAGCACACTGGAGAGGGGAGCGTTACGTCATAGGGGGGGTCGGGGGCCATGACGCCCGTCGTGCCCCACGCAAGAAAGAAACGGGCTCATACATATACGCACACACATACCTACGTACGTACGTACGTACGTTCATACATACATACACAAATCCGTATCGCTCGCACGCCTTCTTTTCCAGGCGCGCTGCACCAGCAGTGTCTTGCAGCGAGGCGCGGCTAGGCAGACACTTTGGGTCAAGCCTCGGAGCCGCTGCCGAGCGAGGCCGGCCTCGCAGCCCTCACCAAAATGGTGGTAACTCGCCGGGGAGGCGGTGGAGCACATGGCACCCTCACCTTGGGCATCCTTCCGAGAGGCGGTAAAACTCCCGTGTTGGAACGGGTGGCTGGCGGGGTCGAGGAGGCCTGAAAAGGCTGTGGAATCACCGGCGCCGCGATAGGCCCGCTCCTACCTCCTAAAGTCGGGGCGGTGCTGACTCCAATCGCTCGCGCGCCTTCTTTTCCAGGCGCGCTGCACCAGCAGTGTCTTGCAGCGAGGCGCGGCTAGGCAGACACTTTGGGTCAAGCCTCGGAGCCGCTGCCGAGCGAGGCCGGCCTCGCAGCCCGCGCCACTGACTGGCGTAGCCGAGGACCACAACCACACGCCCCATGGCTGGCCGGCAATCCCAAACCATTCACTGCCTGAGCGAAGCCGAAGGCGAACATCACCACGTGGACCACCACCTGCAGAGGCACCTAACAATCTCCGCACTTTCGGCGGGTAACTGCAGCAGCACCAATGCGGCCGTGCTATCCTCAATGTAGATGCGCGCTGTTCGCGGGTTCTGCCATCGGCCTCGTACGATCGTCGCGTCCATGCCCTGGACCTTTGCGAAGTACCACGAGGCCCCCCCTCTCCGTAGGGAGTACGGCTGGAACCCTACGTGCTCAAGGCGGGTGAACTTCAGGAGAGCTTGGAATGCCCTCGAAAAGGCGCCTCCCCTCTGGCGGACGAGGGGGTCGTCGTCAGAAAGGTCGCACATGGCCCGCTGCAGCAAGGTCAGAATGACGCGGTCCACGAAGTGCACCGCCTCCCGGGCCCTCTTTCTCCCGGCAGTCTTGGTCGACTCCAATGCTATGAAGACCGTGTTGGACTCAGGGAAGAGCCGGACATGGCGTTTCTCGAGCGACAAAAGCTCGGTAGTCCGAAGAAATGCAGTAACCCCAACCAGAAGCCCTGCGGCCAACCTCAAATCCCCCGCCTGGGCCGCAGCAGAGGCCAGAGCAGCCACAATGCGCTTCGGGAACGGCGTGGCTCTAGTGGGCACGACTGTAGAATTCCAATTGTTGTAGAACAGCCAACTCGTGTTGAGGTGGTGCTTGCATTGTGGGAAGAAGCGCTGCAGGCCGCTCAGGAGGTGGCCGCAGAAGCCGATGGGCTCACCTTCCTGCCAACACTCGTTGATGAACTCAGACACAATGTGATCGAGCTCCGACAACGACGTGGGCAGGGCGAGGGACCGGGCTTGCAAGAAGAAGAAGAAGGCGTTAACAGCTCGGCGGTATACCTGGAACGCGCGTGGAGCGATGCCGACATAGCGCAGGTGCCGGCGAACCGGCCCACCAGGATTACGGGCGCGACGGCCCTGCTGACGAAGCACCGGCATTCCTCGAGGCAAAGTCGCTAAAGTTCCACGCAGAAATCGCCCAGGCATAAAAAGGGCAATTATCGCATGCAAGTGATACCGCCATGTGTTTGCGGCACACGCGGTTCAGCCGCCTAGAAGAAGAACGGCCTTTGGTGAGCACACCCGTCACGACCAGCGAGTCCAGGATGCGCAGGTAGCGCTGGGAGTGGTACATGATTGAATTGGCACGCCGCCTCAACCAGGTCACCGCCGCGTGCGCCTCAAGGATGTTGATGTGCTGCTCGTGCTGCCATCGCCATGACAGCACGGTCTTCCACTCCCACTCAAGAGCGGGGTACGGCACCCTAGCAGGGGACGAATGGAAAGGATCGTCGACGATCATCCTCACGTCAGTGCCCCGGTGGTCGCACTTGCGGAGCACGAGCTTCAAATGTTCGATCTCCTGGCCCGGGACCATGGTAGCCTCGAGCTCACGCACGGACGCGACCACGCGCTCCGAGACGCCCTTTTCGACGAACATCTTCCCTGCTCGGGCGAGCCGGGCACGCAGCGCCTCCTCCCGCCTCGCAGGGTCCACCTCCCGGGGTGGCACCGCGGGT